AATATCTGACTTCGATTTTCAGGAGCATTCTAGGAAGAAAATTAGTATTTAAAAATCTGCCTCCTGTCTCACCAGGAGTGAGGCCTAATGCATGTTTCATTTTCTGTGAATTCTGTTCATGTCCTTGATTCATTTGTCTACTGGATTTTTAGCAATTTGTAAGTGCTTTATATGTTTGGAAGAAATTAGTCCTTTATTAATAACATGAGATATAATTTTTCCTCATTTGTTTTTATTACTTTGCTCCATGGTGTTTTCTTGTTTTGTTTGGTTTTTTTCGACTGTAAAATAAAACATTACAAAACACTGCACAGGACATTTGAATACTTTAAGGAATAACCAAGGTGAACACCATAGTAGCTGTTTGTTTTTAACAGTTGAATTTATCTGTCAGCTCTTTTATGATTTGTGGATTTAGGGTTGTAATTATGATGCAATGAGGGAATTCTCGGGTGTTTGCTTCAAGAAATTTTGAGGTTGCTTTTGGGTGTCCTCAGAGTCCGGTGTGGCGCTGTAGAATATGCACTGAACCGCAAGGTTGGTAGTTCAAACCAACCAGCAGCTCCTTAGAAATCCTATACAGGGTCACTATGAGTTGGACCCCTACTCAAGGGCACATAACAACAACAACTTTGGAGTCCTGGTGTGGCACTGAGTTAATGTGCTGGATTGCAATATTGGTTTGAACTGCAAGGTTGGCGGTTCAAGCTCACCAGCTACTCCTTGGAAACCCTATACAGGGTTACTGTGGGTAGAACCGACTCAACGATATTTAACAACATTGGGGAATGGGAGTCTTGCATTCAAACTTTGTCCTTTCTCTCAAGTCTACATGTTGTGGGGTAATTACACTACTCACCCCTGATTGGAATCCTAGTATGGTGCTGTAGGATAAGCACTGGACTGCTACCTGCAAGATCAATGGTTCCAAACTCAGAAACCCTGTACATGGTTGCTATGAGTCGGAACCCTTAATTAGACATGCCATTTCTATCTTCTACTTAGTCTTAGTGTATCATGAAAAACAATAACAAAGGCATTGCCATCAAGTGGATTCCTACTCATAGTGACCCTATAGGACAAAGTAGAAGTGCCGCATTGGGTAACATATAGGTTGGTTTGGGATGATCCCAAATCTATTTAGACTACTTTGACCTTGAATTGCTAGTGAAAAGCCTAATGGAAGCTCTCAAAGGGAATCCCTGAGAGGGAAAGTTGGAGCACAGGGCAGGGATTAGACACAGGATAGTTCGGGTGCTAGGGAGGGGGCAACATACAAGTAGGGAGAGGGTAATGGAAGAACAAAGCAGGTGGGAGAACAATTAGGTCTCAATGGGCTAAGCGAGACAGAGGTAAATAATGATATATGCACA